CTCCTACTAGACGCTGGTGCTTCTTTGCATTTGGTCGACAAGGACGAAAACACGCCTTTGGATTGCGCGGTACTCGCGTAAGTTGAAAATCGTTGCTACATTATCTGCCGTAACATCAAAGTAACATCGATATACTTGTTTGATTGAACAGCAATAATCAGCAGATAATAGAGCTGCTGTTATCGCGAGGCACATCCATCAATGCCGTCAACAGCAGGGGAAGTACTGTTCTGCATACGGCGATATATAATAATTGTTCGCGCGAGCTTTGCACCCTTCTTCTAGACGCTGGTGCTTCTTTGCATGTAGCTGACTACTGTGGAAACACGCCCTTACATTACGCTAACGTAAACGAGTAAGTAAACGAGTAAGTTGGAAGTCGTTGCTGACGATTCCACCGTGACGTGCTCAAATTAATATCTACTCTCCAATTAAACAGCAACGCGGCGGAAGTAATGGATCTACTGTTATCGCGAGGCGCGGCCATCAATTCTGTTGACAACGAGAGATGGAGTGCTCTGCATGTGGCGGTTTGCTATCTGAATGTGCAATGCGTGAAAGTGCTGCTGCGTTATCATATCGACGTCAATCTCCAGAACTCGGATGGCAACACAGCATTGCATAAATTGCTTCATGACCCTATCCCGATGTGGAAAGGCGCGATGGACATAATCGACGCCATATGCTCCTGTGGGAGGGTCGACTTCACGCTGAGGAACGAATTCGGCTGCAACATCTTACATGCCGCCGCGCTCAGGGGCAACGCTGAGTACGTGTATAAAACGCTACTAAGTATAGTCACATAACGACTTAATACGGTCACGTCTGTGTAGCAACAGCTTGGCCACGCTTAAAATTCAATTGATCAATCGAACTATGAATCGGTAAATTTGCAGTGCAATGGAGAGGCTGGTTACACACGCGCATCACTTGGTGGATGTGCAAATGGAGGACGGAAACGCAGCGTTGCATTTAGCGGCTTTGAAAGGACACAGGGAAGTCGCGGCCATCCTCCTCTCGCAGAACGGCGGCCGCGCCAAGGTTGATCTGCGCAACAATCTAGGTCAAACGCCGTTGTGCTTAGCGGTTTTGCATAAACACTGGCCGCTTGTCGAGCTGCTCGCGCATCAGAAAATTGCGGATTTTGATGGAACGAATATGTGCAATATCTGCATGGAGCGTCGTCGTAACGTCGCCTTTCTATGCGGCCATTGCGCGTGTGAACACTGCGCCGCTCAGCTGAACACCTGTCACATGTGTCGCAAGACGATCACAAAAAAGATCAATTTATATTAGACTCTCCAATCAATCATTGCATCGGAACTTTGATTACTACGCGGTGCACGCGTGTACTGTGTATCTGGAGAGGAAAAGTCGGTGATGTAGAACCAGCGATTAATAATAACAAAATGGCCCTGACGCGTTCAATTTTAAGCAATTTCGGCGCTGTAATACAGCTCAGAATGAAAGACTTGTATTCACAGAAATTTCTTTACTCGCTATGTTACACGTTTGCCTCGAAACATTCTATTTGCCCAACGGAAACTCCGCAAACTTAGGGTGTCGGCTTAAGAGAATACTCCTTCCTACTTCGCGCGCAGGAAAGAAGGAAAAACATTTAGATCATTTTTAAATCTTACTTGTTTCAATTTTTCAATAGATTTTTTGCTGAGAAATCTTTTGTTTTGTCATGTTTTATAAGTTTTTTTGTCACTTTTCCAAAATATGTTATTTCTAATATAAAACTTAAGATATTCTATTATAACGTGCTACTTGATACGAACCGATATTTGTTGTAGATTAAATATCATCGCGACGGAATGTATTATTCGATGTTCTAGACGCGTTCCGTTAAAAATGGCAAAAGTATCTATTAATTCGAATTTTGCGAGTCTGATGCGACATTTAAATGTATCCGCTCGATCGCGACGTGTTATCATGAGAAACTCGTTCGCTCACGAAGACTCTAAGAAGTTGCTCAATTACGTGGCCAGCAGCAATCGCGGTATTCGCCACTGAAGCAATCGCGTTCAGCCGATACTACATGGTGGTCACACGAATCCATCAGCATTATATCAGCACTTATTTTCCTTACCTAAGTACTTCCTGCGGAACCAACGAATTGGCACAGGAGATTTCCACATGGCGATTCTTTCCAAATAATCATAGAGAATTTTCAGAGATCATAGAGATTCTTTACAATATTATTTAATATCAAAAAGAAATTTCGTGATACGTCTGTTAATTAAAATTAAATTTACGAATAATGTCTTTTTATAATTACATTTTACAATTTTATATAATGTTTTTGTCTGAGAATGAGTATCATCTGAAATAAAATCTTGCTAGAATTATAACTTTGTAATCTATTCTTCCGAGTAATCCTTATACATCACCGTGACTCACCGAATTTAATGAAACTTAGTACATTTGTAAAGTAGTTAAAAATAATTGACACGATATTTTTTTATATTGGCAATGGTGCAGGTTTAAAAGTGTAAACTACTTCTTATAGTGATAAGCACGAGTATTTAATTTGCATTTTAACTTGTATTAGGAACTACATACTTACTTACATTATCTCGCTCGTTTCTGAACCCAGGAATAACCGACGAAGAGGTGGCGAGAATCTATCCTCATTTAGTTTCTTTTTATTTTTGTTTTTTATTATTTTTATAATTTTTTTACATTTTTTACCAATTTTTCTTATTTCTTTCACAATTACATTACTCCACATCAATGTCTATTTTTTTCATTTTATTGTACCTACTCTTTTTAAAAATAAAAATAATATTAAAAAAAAAATTTTGCACATCAAGGGCATTATATTATTGCTACATTATTACATAATAGTTTCACAATTTTTGAAACAATAATCTATGAGATTATCAAAATCAAGTGGTTTCTCTTGCAAATATTTAGTTATTTTCTCAATTTATAAATTTTTTAGAAATTCATGGCACAATTAAAAGTGGGTATTTGCAAGAGAAACCGCTTGCTTCTAATAATCTCATAGATCATTCAAAAATTTCAAAAATTGTGAAACTTATACCTGCGTATTATGTAATAATGTTGCAATAATAAAGAGCGATATACAAGTGGTGTGCAAAATCTTTGTGCATACAAATTTTTTTTTAAATATCATTTCTGCAGAGAGTACGTACAATAAAATGAAAAAAATAGACATAGGTGAGAAATGACGTAGTTGTAAAGAAAATAAGAAAAATTTTAAATATGTAAAAAATGTAAAAAAATTATAAAAATAAAACAAATATAAAAAAATAATAAAAAACAAAAAACTAAATGATAGACGCTCACCGTCTCTTCGTCGGTTATTTCTGCAAGTTCGGCAAAAAGCGAGATAAAGTAAGTAAATAAGTACCTCTTATAATGCAATTAGCTAAAATGCAAAAAATTAAGCACTCGAATCGTGTTTGTCATTATAAGAAGTAGTTTGCACCTTTAAACTTGCACCATTGCCGATATAAAAAAAAGTACGTGTCAATTATTTATGATTCTACACGGAGAGAATTTTTTTTTAATTCACCCTGTAAATCATGTTAATTATGAGACAATATAGTATTTAAGCAAATTTTACTGTGCACTACAATAAGATTTTGCAGTAAAATTTATTGTAGTGCACAGGAAAATACCTAAATACCTAAATATTATATATATTAATTGTCTCACAATTAACATGATTTTCAGGATAAATTTTAAAAGAAAATTCTCTCCGTGTACAAAAATGTAAGTTTCATTAAATTCGGCGAGTCACGGAAAGATAGGAGGATACTTGTAAGAAACCGTGTAAGTGAATAACACAAATAAAGTTGAGAGGGCCTTCTATGTCACGGCCGGATCTTGGTGCATAATTCTATATATATTCAATATAAATATAAATTCTATATAAATTCAAAAAATATATACTATCAGACTCTTCAATTTAAAACAATAATTCATAGAAATTGGCATTAAGAGTCAACACGCAGAACATTGCGTAAAATTTTAATAAAAATTATATTCCAAGGTTGGTGGTTTACGACACCTCTTCAAATTTCTTACGCATCTCTTGCACGTTTCGGGCTCCTTCAGGCTTTCTTTAGCGATGAAAAATATAACAAATTTACACCAGATTCAAAATTATTCTGCTCTTAAACGTCACAATGTTCCGCAATGTTTGAGATGGGTCTTCAATTTCAAGACTGAACGCGAAAGTCATTTATGTGAATTGAATAACAATATTGTAAACTAAGTGTCGATCCACCATAAGAACTTAAAGCCTTACGCCGTAAGATATTGATCAATTATAATCGATTATTCTTCTTATATTCGACTACGATGGTCTATTTCTTATTGCTTAAGGCTTAAAATCCTTATTGTGGACCGACACTAAAGGTCAATGTACAATGAGAATAGAGAAATTGACCAATCACAGTCGAATATGAGAAGAATATTCTAGAGGTGTGCGAATAGTTCGAATTCGAATCGAATCGAATCGAATCACAGTAGATTCGATTCGATTCGTTTTCGAATCTGCAAGATTCGAAATCGAATAGTTCGAGAATTTCAAATCAACAATGGTTTGATTTCGAATTGATT